CCCTGGCCTCCCTTAACATCAGCATCAACTCCCTTCTCTCTCACAGACTCGGTGTAATCTTCATTTATATAAATGTTAGATCCTTTAAGCTTCTTTGCTTGTTGCAGTATGTGTGCCTTATCTTTCTCTTTCATCAACTTTACCATCACCGCCCTCAGTCCCCGATCAGAAGGTTTCTCGACTCTGTGAGCCCACTCCATCTCAATTTCTTGATGAATTTGCAGTTTAGCCTTTAATATTTCCTTCACCTTGCATTCCGCATCCGTCCAGCTTTCTCCGGCTGACTCCTTGATTCCCTCGAAGATCATGTTCTTTCGCTTGGACTGTACTTCCAAATGCTCCATTTTATCCGTTATGGCTATTAGACTCTCACAAGTTTTGTAGACATCATCCCTTGTTTCCTTGGTTTGTATTTTCTGTTCACCCATGGCTGCTTTAATCACATCCACATCTCGCTGGGTAAACTGCAAACTCGTTTTTATCTCCTGTATTTCTCTGGTCATGTTGTCAAGTCTCTTATTTGTCTCCATAAGTAGTTACACAAAACCTTTGAAGTTGTCTTGTTGTTGGCTCAACAGTGCGGTGTACATCTGCTTCTGCTGACTCAACATCTCTGTTACTTGCGCCGCTGAAATATAATCCTCTTCTGCTTCAACATCCTCATTCGCTTCTGATTTATTAGCTCTTTTCCCTCTTGGAGGCATTTTAATAGTTGTAGAATTTGTTCAAAGACTTGAAAATGTAGAAGATGTGAAAAATTGTAGAACAGACAAGAGGAGCAGTAAAGACGTCTGCTCTCGCTTGCATCCCGGAACTGCGTCCCGTAAAACATCATTTAATCCCATAAACATTAAAAGCATACATAGGGAACTACTTCACCACAGCCCCTGAAAGGCGAAGGTTAGGTATTTCCACACCCGCTTGCATTATGCCTCTGTGCATGATGTCCTTATGGGATGATGAAATAAAACACACATTCTTTTCAGATTTGACTGACAGCAAATACTGGTTTTACCTGGTGCTGCTGATGTGTGAACAAGGTTGTCAAGGTTATCAGCTCTGAGGACTGCGACTTTGAGGCGGTAGGCCAAAGTCTGATACTGGAGCAAAGTGAAGATCTGTGGAGGGCAGTTAAGCCCCCTACACAGTGGTGCATCCTGGGGAACAGATTCTGCAGTCAAAGGGCAAAAATTCAAAGAGCAGTGAGAGAACCTCAGTCAGGAGGAAATGTCACACCAAGGTTGTGCTTTGTAGTCGACTAAACCCCTCAAAATTTACCTAACCTAGGACATCAAGCTTAATAACACAATACAAACAAAAACTCTAAATTTGTCTCCAATTTTCAACATATAATTTCAACTGGTAGCCTCCATGCAAAGATTAGCACTGCTGAGTGCAGTAGGAAAAAGCCCTGGGACCCTTGGACCTAAAAATTATGTAGCATTTGAATGTAGCTTGACTGGTCGATCAAGTTCAAGCTTAAGCCCTAAATGTGCTCAAAAGGTGCCTCCTAACAGGTGTATCTGGCCATATATCTGTGTATCTTAAAAATAAAGTCAACATCTGCTAACAAATATTAATTCAACATACCACTACCTTTTTCAGTGTCCACTTGCTTGGGTTAAGCCTTTTGCTGAAGTGAAATAAATACTCTGCTATCCAATCTCTTCCTCCACATTTGGGTTCCAGTTCACCCAGTGCAGTGCCTCTCCTACTGTGTGGTTCCTGTGTGTATACAGCTAGCCTGAGAGTGCATCTTTGAAGCTCAATTCACAGAGCTCACCTTCAAAAGCAGCATCAAGCTGTGGGCTTTGGGAATGAGATTCTATCAAAAGGATTTATCAAATAGAACAGACCTCCTTAAACAAGCTGGAGCCGAGCAATCTGTAGCTGCTCCAGGTTCCTGTTCAAAGTCGGAGAATCCGTCTGCTGCCCAAACTCTATATTCCAGTCTTTATCCCATGACAGTGATGCCCTCCTCATCTGCAGAGTGAGCTGACTAGTATTATTCCTCCTGGGTGGGCAGGGAGTGTGGATGGAGATATCCATCTTATAATATTTTTCTTAAAAAAAAAAGATTGCATTTAGATTTTTCCAAGTATATGAACATCATATATGTCATGCCCAAACAAAGACTCACAAACTTACTGACTAAACATGACAACAAAATAAAAACTAAATATATGACAGCTGACATTTACTTTGCATATCATATAAACAAGCTCCACCTCCATATAAAAAATGATCAGCTTAGTACATGAATTATAAACATAATTTATACATAAATCTATCATGATACTTCTCAGCTGCTCCTGTAGCATTGCTCTTCTACCATGTTCCAGATGTCAAACCAATTCAGCTGTATCACGATAGAATAACAATAAATCCTACAACCCATTCTCCACCCTCATCCTCTGTCCCATCAGATTTTAGGAATTAACTCTAAATACACTTTGTTCTTCCTTTACCACAAAGACAATGTATATTTTAAATTGGTAAAAATAATCTGATGTGAAATAAATTTCAAAATGCATATATTGTTCTTCAGTGTTGCAATTAGAATTTTTTTTTTAATTGAAAATAAATCAAAGAGAAGAATTGTTAAAAAACACTTAATTATTCACTGGTTCATGTAGCAGGTCAAAGATATTAAGGACAGAGATTTCAAAGTGATAATCAGCTGAAAATACTGATCTAAAATGCATGTTTATGGATGCCTACTTGAAATGGCATGTATCTTGTTTGGATGAGGAAATACTGCCCCCATCTGGCCACTCTGTGTATTATTTTCAGTTCGCTGATGGAGGAACTACTCAGAACGATTACATAAGGAAAATTATGTAATGGTGGCATATAAATGCAAGGAGAGAGGAGGGAGGAGGAGCTCAGGGCATCATGGGGGGACCCCCAGCAGGCCTAGAGCAGCATAACTAAGGGAAGGCTCAGGGACACCTGAGCCAGCTTTAACTATAAGCTTTATAGATTTGAGCACTGAAGTTTATTGCTGACAATGAGATCAGAATGAGTGACAAAAAAAGAACTCAACTCAGTTGTCTGTGTGAAGTGTGTGAGATACAGCTAAAAGCTAAAATGCTAGTAGGGACCTTGCATGGACATTTTCTCATGCATACTTTAAAATGTTAATAGGGTTTTCTTCAGGCTGAAACAACTATAAACAGCTACAGTAAAACTACCTAATAACAGCATTTTCCATAATATTATGATCTTCCAGCGTATCTCCATAAATGCAAAGGCAAGGACGATCCCTACAGCACACAAGAATTCTTTATTTTTCATGGCCACATGTCCGAGAAAAATGTTAATCAAACACCAAAACTGAGTTGAACATCAACCATGATTTTTTTTTAACAGTTGTCAGGTCAGAGTGGCTTTTCTTTGCAATGGTAAGTCAGTTGATTGTCCACATACAGTATATCTCAGCAGATGGCTAACTCATTACATGCTGCATTAAGTATTGCATATTTATCTAAACGAGTGAGGTAGCACTGTTTCAGTGTTCAGTTGTCAAAATCTTAAAGCAATCAATGATAAACATTGGGTTTTTTTTTTGTTTTTTTTTACAAATGCAACACAGCAACATATTATGAGATACATTCTAACAGTGATGAGTCCAAAGGCCATTTCCTGAGTCCAGAAGACATTCACTAGAAACAGAACAGGGGAAGTCTCTTGAAGTCAGTGTTGCATCTCTTCCATTCTATATACAGCTGCCAACAGAAACCTTGTTTCTCACATTTTGCATTTGATTCACAGCTGAAATAAATCTCTCTATTTTACCAAGCTAGATGATTAAAATGAAAGTAAAGCACAATACCACACAAAACATATAAAATTATTGAACCAACTTGCAATAAGTGTCTTTTGAATTCCATGTGATTCTTTAGAAGACAGCATTTCTGTGAAAACAGATGGTCGTATATAATCCCTGAAAACAGTTACGAAATGTATAAACTATGAGCTTTCACTGAAGTGAAACCAAATTTTTGTCAAGGTACTTTAAGCAAAATGGCTTCAGCAACAGTGTTTAATAATTAGCCATAAATGTAATACATACCAAAACAAGCATAGCACTGGTTCTCACTGTGCACACTTCTGCTCTAAACACGCTTCTGAACAAATTTTGCAAAGCCCTTTTAACAGGAGTGCTGCTACATTAAAAAGAGCTTCTAGCAAGCCATAAGGCAAACTGTGATCTGAATCTACAGGATTAAAGTTGGTCTGAAAACCTTTGGGGTCAAATATCAATGTCCTTGTGACAAAACACATTTAAAGCACATTACACAGTCAAAGAAATGGAAAAAAAAAACAATGCAAGAAAAAAGCTGAAGAGCTGACTTTCCCTGCAGTTCATAGAGTTCCTGTCTGAGAAATATATTTTGTAATAATTTATGTGTAGAACAGATGCAAAAGGCTCAGTTTGGGCCCTTTGGGGAGGTGGAAGATGAAGAAGAGGGACTGTGTGAGGAGGAGGAGAAGGAGGACAGGGCACTAAAACCACTTGTTCCTGCCAGAGTTGCGGCCTGTGATACCACAGGAGGAACGGACTTCTGGGCAAACAGCGTACCTAAAGTGCAGGGATCAGAGAGAAGATCCCAATTAAAAAACAATGGCCATTAAAAACAATGTATGATTCGCTTGTTATCACTGCAGAAATGAAAGTTTTTAGCTCAAGTTTTTCCTCATATAACGTGCTGTGTATATAGAGGAATAAGCTTCCTGAGCTATAGTTTACATAAAAAGATGAAGGTAGCATTAAATGAACACACCTCTTGCTTTCTTGTCAATACTTAGATGACAAGAGAAATAACACTCATACTTCTATGCCATGTGCTGTACAAAGCTTATCATAAAGACTTGAAACAAGCTGAAACAGCTAGCCTGACTAAAACAATCATATATGCGATTAATAAATTAATTTACCTGAGTATATAGTACCATTGATCACCACAGATACTCCAATACTGGCTGCTCCATTAGTGGAAATACTCAGAGACAAATCCTGCTTGTTTTCTGTGGGAGAGCAATGGAAAACTACAAAAATCTGAGTTTCCTATAATCATGTTTGATGAGGTCTGTATTCTTAAGGCAACTCACCATGTCCATTGTTAGGCTTAAAGTTCATGGGGTTGAAGTGAGAGGCCATGGCCAGGAGATTTTGTTGGAGGGCCTGCTGCATGAGGCGCTGCTGCTCCTCCACGAGCTGCATCATTTTCTGTTCTGGACCATCAGCTGCAGCTCCTCCCGCTCCACGCTCCAGCCTCTCTTTGAGATGCTCTAATGTGGCAGCTTGTGCCAGCTGCTGCTGCTGCCCCAGTGCCAGAGCCACGTGCAGCTGGCTGGGTATTACAGAGGCTGATGTCTCATCTGATTGTTAAGAAAATGTTTAATAAATTTTAGACATGTCCTAAAGAAGAACATCATAGAGAAAAGGCAATGAAGAATTGCTATTTGCTCAAAAAATCATTTATATAGCATATTTAACCACAACCAACACTAATCAAAGTTCTTCACATTAAGTCAAAGGGGTGTAATATGATCATATTTACATGTATTAGTAATGAGACGAGCAGCAGCACTTTGGACTAACTGAAGCCGAGAAAGTAATGACTGGCTTACACCGCATGCAAAGTGTTACAACAGTCCAAGCTAGAGCTGATAAAAGCATGAACTGCTCTTTCAAGATCCTTACATGTTAAAAAAGGTTTGGTTAAAAGACAAAGCTGAAAAAAAAATCCTATTTTATTATAGATATAATGCAGCACATGCTCAAAGTAATGTCATACCTATGTGCCTCTTTTGGTTTGGACTGGCAGATGTATTCAGACCATTCTGGTCAACCTGTCTGGTTGAGATGGTTTGCATTGTGGGTGAAGACAGGAGTGTGTGTGGAGCAGAGTTTGGGAAGGGAGAGCAGTGGTAGAGGCTGCTGGTGTAGCTGGGACGCCGTCCTTCTCTGCGGTTACTGTTGATGGCAGCCTGCAGCTCACCAGGAGAACTCAGCCCCTTCTTCTCACACTCAAATGGGTACAGGTACTTCATATACCTACAAGAAAACGTTTCACATGGATCACATTTTCAGGGGCTAATTAGTAATAATTTGAAATAAGAAAAATCAGGGTCTTTCATGTTTAAAATAGTTTTACAAATTTGCTAACCAAATAATTTAGAAATGCTTTGAGCTTGGACAAGAACAATTCCACATTTTAGGGCTAGAACATGTCATGTAATCATGAGCTAGAGCTGATAAAAGCATAAATTAGACATTTATAAATTATTAAAACATGTAGACTTAGACTTATAACGAACTAGACAGATGTTACTTTTTTAGAGGAACCCTTGTTTCACATTTAGACAAACTATTAAATCAGAAAATAATTATGTTATTCTACTTCATACTGAAGCCCCTGTTTATTCCTCGGACTGTCAACACTACAGTTCTGCACACTTTTTGGGTACAAAGCTGAGAGACACCTACTGGGTGCGGAGGGTGAAGGCCGCGCTGGTGATGGACGTCGGGAGATTGAGACCTTTGGTGATTTCCCTCCAGATCTTTTTGTTAATAACCTCCACCAAACCTCCTTTTTCTGTCACAAGTTTATAAAGCCTGTACAGGTCCAGCACCTGCTTGGCCATGATGGGGATGCGGTTTACAGGGGTTCCTGAACAAACGGGAGGATAACGACAACAAAATGTATTATTTTCTGTCAATTCTCCTCCTGAAACACTGACACTAAACAAGAGTTTGCTTAAAATAGTTTTAATAATTTCATATCTTCCATTTTATTTGTCATACAGCACTTTGTACTTTGTTTGAGAAGTCCTCTATGAATAAAGTTAATTATATAACCACCATTGAGGTAGGAGGGAAGGACAGTAGAAGGGAGTGGCTGATCTTCTCACCATAGGGCTTCATGGTGCATGTCAAGTTATCAGATAATATGGCTTAGCATGTACAATCTCTGCTGATAGACTAATCTAATAAAGCTTACTTCAGGTGGAGATAACTCCACAACAGGGGCTCTGTTAACTGCATTGATTTGCATGTGGGGGAGGGGTGGTTTCATAACCAGCACTATGTGCCAATCACCGGTTTGACAGCTAACCCTTCCGAATCCGATTTGGAGAAAAGCCAATTAATATACGAGGCTAAAATGCAGTTGTAGAAATAAGATTGCTTTGTGCTTAAGATGAACAAATGCCACACACACACACACACACACACACACACACACACACACACACACACACACACTTGCCATGATGATGACCTTTGTCCACACGACTTGTTTGTTTGACTGGGATTTGTTTACACTGAACCAAATTAATCTGCAAGTGTCTTTAGCATGCAGCACTAAACGCTGCTAGACAGCTGGTGCAGACAAAAGTTTAGCATAAAAGCTTCAAGACATTTCAGCCACATTACTGTTTCTATTTGGGGTTAATGATAAAGTTGGTGTTCTTTGCCAATTCAAAAATTAAATAAAGTACATTTTAGCCAGTTTAAATTTCAATTATGCAAGGAATTCCAGTCAAGGCTACATTAATCACATGCTAAGTAGATAAGTAGAAATTATATAGAAGTAAACTAGGAAAGGGCCTATGTACTATGACATATTAGTGTAAGTCAAGTGAATAATCTTGAATAATCCATGGACATTAACAAGTTTGAATATTAACTAGAATGAATGTACACATACATTTGTATAATAAAAAAATGTGTCAGTGGAGGAAACACCCCCCTTGACACAGTGAAGAGTCTTTGTACAGTCTTATTAATTTATTTGATGCACATAGATTCCATAAAAATTTGGTTGATAAAGTCAGAAGGGAATATAAGCAAGTGCTCTTTTAACTATTAAAAAAAAAAAAAGTAGATCCAGATAACTCAAAATCTGAAACTTACCTCTTTTCTGCATAAAGACAAAAAGTTCATCAAGAAACTCTTTCCGTTGTGGGTCATTATCCAGTTCATAAAGCTGCAAAAAATAAAAAAAATCAATGAGTGGTTAAAAAGTGATGATTTCAGGCACTATCTTGTTTACATGCATCTACCAAATCTACTGACCTTGGCAAAGTCTCTGGATGGTTCCCCTCTTACTTTTGCACTGTCATTCTCCTCAGCCCAGATGACACTTCCCCTCTGTAAATACACCCACAGAGAAACATCAGTGAGTAATGACCTCCACACTGCCTAAAAGGATGAAATTAATGAGGAGCATATTACAAAAATATGGGCACGTTTGGAATTTAATTTCAGGTGGCTTATTTTGGATACAATTGATATGCATATGGTAAATGGCCACTAGACATGCCATATACAGAGACAAGACAATTACAGGAATTGTTAAAATCAAAGAAACGCCGAAACGTTGTGCCCTTGGGGAGATGATGTTTCTATTTATTTGTCAGCTGTTCCTCAAGGACTCTGGACTTTGTGCTTCCCAGCTCCTGTGTGCAAACCTGCTTTTTTCTCAGCACTGAAACCACTATGGCACTGTCCTGTGGCAAACAACTGGTCAGTGGAAGCATCTGGACGCCTGTACTGTGGTGCTGTTTATATATTAATGCTTACATTTAAAGATGGACACAGCAAAAGGGAGATTAAATCAAAAGGCCCTCAAACGCTCATTAGGTACAGTAGTTTAATGTCACATGTTATTTCTCCATCTTAACATGACAGTTAAAGGTTAGAAATGGGCGGAGGGCAGCGTGTGTGCAACTATGTGAGGCTACTGTCCCTAACGTAAACCAAGAGCTGCATCTCTGACTGAACTGCTCTCCAAATATGAAAGGCACACTCATAAAAGGTAATGCTCTTGTTTTATATTACCATGTTTTAAATTAAAACAAGCATCAGTATTTTAGACAACAAAAAGCGCTTTTGTTATTGATAGAATCAAATGCTTCAATTATCATGTTTGTGGTTAATCAAAATATTGGACTGTTGTTGCGCTCTTCCCTTTATAATGAGGGAACTTGATATTTGCATTTAAATTAATCTCCTTTTTTTGCCCCATTCACTAAACCTTTGTCACAGCACCTTGCTCAAACCTGGGGCTAGTGATGATAGCATCTCTCACATCTTTTCTAAGCTATAAAATACATGGGAACTGAATATCTGTTGGCTTCGTGTCCAACTGTAACTCTCCTCCTGTTTATAGTAAAAACACAATTCAGACTGTAAATGCTGACACTCAACCAACAGCTGCATGATAATGTAAAGCGGTTCCCACTCTTTGTTGTCAGATGCACCCGCATAGCCATACCAGAGTTCATCGGGACAGATTTTAAACCGGGCGTTGTTTAACACCACTGACTGCATACAGGCGCATCTTGTAATCTTTTATACAACTTAACTCTCAGTGTTTCAGTTGGTTTTGTCACATTTGCAGGTATAGTGGCAGACCCTGACCTTTCAGCCATTACCTTTATTTCACTATTTTATCTGCGTATCTGTTGCCTCATTTAACTTTTAGCTATTTCAGTCATGTATCCATTACTTTTAGTTTACAGTTTCAACAGTTTGTCAAGTACTTTAAACTATGCTAAAACATTGGAACCATTACTTTTAGATAACTATCTTAGCCTTTTATCTAATACTTTTAACTTACCACTTCAACTGTTTCCACAACCTCACAATAGTTGCACACACCGCCCTCCAGTCATTTTTTAACCTTTAACTGTCATGTTAAGGTGGAGGTCATGGAGGAATGTGACATTAAAACTTCTGAGCAATGACCCCGAGGCTTTTCATTTAATCTCCCTTTTACTGTGTCTAGCTTTAAAAGGACACTTGGGTTGAAAATTACAATCCATGATTTCAAGCCGTTTAAACATTTATCCAGATTTAATCTATCTCCATGATTTGTCCTTTACTTTTATCCATTAGTTTTGCAAGATCTATTGTAATCATCATCTTTTACTTTTAGCTATGTCAGCTTCTCTGCTTGGTACTAATTCTCACACTCTAAATTTCAACATGAGTGAATCAATATAAACATACATTGTGGATATAAAACTGATATTTTGTTATTATTATTCCCTAAACTACTCCAGGATCTTCCACATACCCTTAATCTGGGGTAGGAGTACAGCTTGGTTTGGCGTCACTGATGTACCAGACCCTTTAAAACACAAACTTTATTTTGGAAAGTTTTCTATTCTTCTGTTTTTAGTTGTTAAACTGGTTAAACAGTATAACTGTATGTATCCACATTACACACAAAACTCTGCCCCTGTGATGGCAAAGCTGTTGACACATCTAATAGCTTCAGATCCGAATTTCTAATAAAAGACTTCTGCTCCCCCAGCAGAAAGTCTATTGATGTGAAGGTAGATAAACATCCCAGTCTTTTTACCATGAAACTGAAATAAAACCCTTCCCCCCTTATTGATGAGTGAGACCTACTGTGGGCCTAATAACAAAGAGCATTCAGTTAATTGCTCCAAGAGCTTTCACACATCCAGCCTTGGGAATCCTGATAGTATTCAGTACATAGGTCAGAAAAAGGTTTCTTTTGTTTTGTTAAAAAAGGCAACTTTTAATTGTATGTTTAGATGATTTTACATATTTAAATGACAAATTATCTGGTTAATGCATACATAAAGCGGTTCTGTGAAAGTAAGCCCATAAAAACATATTCAGACTTCATTTGTCTGTGCAAATTCTCAGTCATCCAGGCCGTAGTATGCTGAAAAACATTGTTGGCCATCGAAGGACTGACACCATAAATACATCCTGCTCACCACCAGTTGGACAGAACTGAAGAAGCCTCTTGGATGACAAGTGAAACATCTTCTACCTAAAACCAAGTCTAGATGATTTTTTTTTCTGTTTTTTTTTTTCAGCAAACCTCTTTTGAAAACAGGAAATGTCACATTAAAATATTCAGACATTAACAATAAATGGAAACCGCCTCTTAAAAGAACTTAATTCAAATCCTACAGCTGCTCCAACAGAAAAACAGTTCAAACTTATCCTTGAGTAAATTTAGTCAAACCACAGGGGGAGGAGCAATTACAATTTTTAATCTAAAACCAAATTACTAGGTTTTTAGTCACAAAACAATTCAAGATCATTTATCTGGCCCCTTGTTGTAGTGGAAACTGTGACTGAGGAGCCAATACTGGCTCTCCGCCCCACCCACTGCTACATTTAAGGACTTTGACAGTGAGCCAACACACGAAAAGTAAACAATGGCTGGCCAGCATGGCAAGGCTTGTGTAGCATGTCCACGGCTAAATACAGGTGTCTGGTTGACGGAATCAATGAAGGGTAAAATAAAAGACATAGGAAGGAGGCAAGCAATTCAAAGAAGGACACAAGAGTAAAACTACAAAACTAGTTTACCCAGTCACCAATTAACTCACAAAAGACCCCATTTGTAGAAAAGTGAGCTTATTTACATGCATGTCAGACAAAGAACATAAAAAGCCCTGGTTTGAAATTCAATATTAAAAATACAATGCAAAGCACCGTGGAGATAAATTCCAGGGGTAAAAAATTAAAGTCTAAATTTCTCTTCACTCTTTTAATCCAACTTATTGAAATGTTTTTATTTCAAAACACATTCTATGTGCTGCAAGAAAGACACATCCTCACTGCAGTAGCCATATAATGTATTGATTACTTTCAGCTGAATTACGCTGCCATTTAGGGTTGCCAGGCGACAGCTCAATTATGCAAAGCTATCCAATGAGCTATAGCTTGATCAGCAGTGGGTTTTCTGGAAGAGTCAAGATTTTAACTGATGCCAACATCTAACTTTAAAGATCATGGATCTTAAATTTGTGTTTTTTCCCCACATGTAACCTTTGCAAAAAATCAGATAACAGGTGGGCAAAAAAAATCTGAAGACAATATGAAATATCTGCAAAGAATGAACAAGAGGTGTGTAAAACTCCTGACTATTCTGCTCCTCTGAAACTACTGTTAGTAAACTTTATGAGTGGCTGGTATGCTGCGAGGCACTAACCCAGCTGTCCCTCTGCCCACAGGCCTCATTAATCATAATGTATTGTATTGAAGTGGGGCCTTTTTGAGGGAAACATATTCACAGGGGAACCAATCAGATGGGCCCACATTAAGAAGGAAAATCCACCAGGAGACCTTGTGTTTCCTATAAACAGTTAAACACATCTGCTGGGAGCTATGACCATAAATACTAGCTTTAGATGGTGAACACAATCTTTTTTTTACATTTTTAAATCAGATCAGGTTGATAAAGTAAGGAAAACACATCCTACACCCTAACCAGCAATTGAACAGTTCCTTACGGTAGTTAATCCTTCAAGCCAACCTTGTCCAAAAATACACACTTGAGGCTATTTCGTTAATCCTTTACTGTCGTTTAACCCCATCTCTGTCAGGCCTGATCCAGCCAAGACCAATTAGCTCCACCAGTGACAAGAATGCTTTATCAAAAGTGTGAGATATGATATAGAGCGTGGCAGAAGGAAAAATCTTTGGCATGGGTAATTAAAGGCGATCAAGTGAGAAAACAGCAGGGCAGACTTAGCAGGAAGAAGTCAATAATTTATAATAAGAGGTAGAACACACACAAACCGCCGCACAGAAGAGAGCCACAGATGTTCATTTTCTCTCAGCAAAGATAAAATCAGGCTCTGACTACTTCAAAATGGAGCTATAATACCAATAATATATATCTATATATAAACGTGGACAGAGATAAAACAATGAATTTGATCTATGTGAAATTTATGAGAAAATTATTCCAAAGTTCACTCCTAGATGTTAACCATACAACAAAGAAAACATTAAAGCCCTGCCTTTCTTAAATCAGTGATAACTTACTTGTTTAAATGGCTCATCGCAGCCCCAGTCAGAGAAGCCACTGGGTGATGTGAAGGGGTGTTGACCTGCAGGAGACAGCAGGTCCCTCTGTTCATGCTCCTGTTTTATAGCTGAAAGTGGAGACTCTGGGGTTTTCTTCACAGCAGATGGCTGAGATGTGGAATAACGAGGGAAGGGGAAGCCTGGAACCTGCTGGAGTCTAGGCTTCTTCACCTGCAGATGAGGCCCGTTCTGCTGGTCTTCCTCCTCTTCCTCCACCTCATTCTCCAGCACATCCTGCTCCTCCTCATCTGAGTCTTCTTCATCTTCACTTGGATCCATTCTGCTGAGATAGCTGCTCAAAGCTTGCTGGGCTGCCTGATAGGTCTGTCCATTTGCTTTGCCCAGCAATGCAGAGTCTAGCTTGAAGCCAGGGGCTCTGGCTGCAGCAGCGTGTTGAGCAAACAGGAGCTGAGCTTGAAGATGATGTTTCTCTTGCAGATTCATCTCCAGCTTGGCTTCTTGTTGTCTCTGCAGCTGCTCCATCACTGCCTCCAGCTTCACCCCAGCAGGACTGGACTGTCTACACCCGACTAAGCCGCCCTCCTCAGACAAGTTGAACTACAGACAAAAAAATAAAAAAACCACCAACTTCAGTGTGCAATGTCATGTATTACTTCATTGTTCACAATTTGATCAAGTATTCTGGTGGCAAATTATCCAAAGTAATACAATGGAAGCAAAGTAAATGTTTACTAAATTGTTTAGATAGTCAGTATACTGCCTGAATAAAGGGACACACATTTGTTTTGGACCCAAACAAATATTTAAGTTGAAGTGAAACTTTTTCAGAGACCTTCTCGCCCCAGGAAACAGTGGATTAAAGTGAAACAAAGCTGGGTGGCTTGAGACAATTATTAACAGAAAATGTCTCAATTTAAGTCAGAATATATTAGTAACACGATACAAACATTACATGCGTAGATTTGTTGTCCTCCCGTTGTGAAAACCGCTTAGATATGATCGAACCTAAGACTTATCTTACAACTCGACCTTCTGTTTTATAAAAGAGAAACAGCTTTATTTCACAGGAGAATATAGGCTACCTGCAGCGATACCTATGGAAACGTATTATCCTCACTGTAAAATGAAAATGACTGGTTCCTGATAATATCCACATTAATCGTCATCTGCTTTGTTACTGTAACAAACGTGGGAGCATGAGCCTGCTACCAGTCGACGACACTCACCGTTTGTGTCTTTGAGAAATCCATCACCGCCACCAGATTCCTAGTCTTCCCTTCTTTCTTTCGGCCGAACTAAATCGCACAGCATGACCAGTTTCTTTTTGAAGAGAACAATTTCTTCAGATCAAATGCGTCTTATAACCCCCCTTTAGTGTGGAGGCAGAGTGGTCGGAGCTGGAGGAGGAGTGTTACGCGCTTTGCCTCCCTGGTCACGGCGCATGGAAACTCAAACATCTTTGATTGTCGGACTAAAGTGGCCCACACCCCCAACTTGGCCGAATGAAAGACCCGCCCCGTGCGTAAAGTTCATGAAGTGGGCTTTCTTACTAGCATCTGTGATGAAAGATGAAACACTATTATCCTGTACATCTGTGTGGTTATTGAGTCAACACAACCTGTACCAAAAACAGAACAGAGCATTAATACGGCATTAACATTCCAAGTTAGCCTGACTACAATCACAGAATAGGCTTAATTTATTAAACTGACTGCATTTCACAGCAGAAGCCTGCAGGGAAATTCATTTTACCTTTACAGCCATGGTACTTAAGTCATTGTCGTTTTATTTGTTTTGGAGAAGGACTAAATAAGCTGAAAGGAAAATGTGTTAAAATGTCCAGACGAAAATCTGATCTCATATTTTTTGTGCTGTGCCCAACATGTATTTCTATACTCAAGGTGGCACCACCACATACAGTTAATAGGCCATACAGTATGTAGTCTGGCTTGGCATTTTGTGTGACCCAGTACAGACTGGTTTTTCAGTAGCCAGGTCAAAATAGTTGTTATTTGTGCAAAGGGCTGTGAAATAATAGGCCTGTCTGCTGCATAATAGTCTAATTTCACCTGTAACCTTGACATCGGAGCTGACTGATTACAGGGTGAGAGGAAAAATCTAAGTCAAGAATGATCTCTCACTAAAGTTAAGAAATATTGCATAAAGAGGAATTGTGTAATTCTGACACCTTGGCAATCAAAGTGAGCATTCAAGGATTTACTTAACACTCTCAAACAATATGTCAGTTTTGGCATATTAATTCCATTTTCTTTTTTTTTATTATGACAAATGGTTCTATTGGTGAACTTCAGTCAGTACTTTCAAATATAAAAAGTTGTCTAACTAGACTTGCAAGCAAGTATTCAGGGGGTCCGAACACAGAGAGTCCCACTGACCCAAAGCGATCGAGAAGCCGAGAACATTGATCGGCAGGCTTAACACATGGTCCTCTTTCCCCACTTATCTGCCAAATCTGCTGTTGTGTTTCATTCTTTGGGCACTGATTTTGAGTCCACACAATGAGGTACATGACATCACACCTGCCTTCACACAGAGGAGACAGTCTATTCAGCCTGAAGCAGAGCATTGTAGCACAGAAACACACCCAGCACTGTGTGCAATAAACTACTAGTGGTCATATTAGCCTTAAACTATTACAACAAACTATCCTCAGCCACCAAACAATAAAAAATACCCTAGACAGTAATAAACAACAAGGTCTTTTTAAAATGAATCATGAGTTCTCTGAACGTCTGACGTGCTTGTAGCCTTCAGCTGGACTCACTGCACAGTGTCGGAGTGCCTTCTAGTGAGGAAAGTATAGAAAACCATGCAACTTGCTAAATGCATGAATGCTGGGACCCGGTGTTGCTTTGTAAACAGAAAACAATTATAAATCAAGTGGACTAGGTTTGGAAACCAAATATACAGCAAAAATAAGACAGATTAGACTAATATGTATTTCCTGAAGACCTGCTGCAGCTTCATGAATCTTATATCTGTAAGACATGGTTCCACTTAGTTATTAGGTCAACCTGCTGATCAGTTTCTAGGTTCAGTGGAGAGGCTATCCCTGAAATCTCTAAAGGGGGCCTATTATGTTATTTTGCAGGTTTGTATTTATTTCAAGGGTCTACTAAGATGCTTTTAAGATAATAAAGCTCATTATTTTCCTTATAATGTCCATTTCTGAAGCACCTCTTTTCACCCTGTGTCTGAAATGGTTCTATTTGGATTCAACGGTTTCTTCTTTTCAGGTTTCCCTGATGGTTTCCTTAGGAAAATATTACCGTTCATATGTTGCTGTGACATGATGTTGGCTCAGTATTCAGGCATAAACTCTCCAAACACACGCTTAGTTTTATTTTTGTCTTTGCAGGAATATCTGTGTGAATTGAGAAATGACCTGCAGTGCCCAGTGAAGTAGAAAGCATTTGTTATGAGAAGATACAGAGGTAACTTGTTAGCAGTAATTCCCAAAACATAGAATGTGATGTAAACACAATTAGTTGTCAGGATGTGTGAATGGAAAGTATGATGTGGAACAATAGAATATTTCAAACACAATAATAATCTGTGGTAAGTGAGAGAAGAGTACTGATGCAGCCACTGTTCTCATTTATTACATAAACTGTAACATTACACAATAGTTACAGACCAGTGATATTTACCACCATGAAGCAGCAACTTTTATAAAACTATACACAATTATATAATATTCTGTACCATGTTAACACAACTGAAGGTGGATTTATTGATATTGCAAAGTAACTTACTGGAAAAATTGCACAGTAACCAAAAGTATCCACAGCCGTTGTGAGGACTGTACAGTGGCCACGTTTCACAGTAACTCTTTTCATTTAATAAGCTTTAACTCCTTATACATTTATTGCCATTTTTATGCTTTAAAATGTTTAAGATTCAGATTATTTGCACATCTTTCAAAGTACTGTATTTCATGCTTTTTAATACAGATGTTGACACTGTAAGAACGTTTGACTGTCAAACAAATGTCCTGAGGTTCAGACTAACTATAGTACGGGTAGTGAAGAGTAAAGGATGACTAGAAAAACTAGTTCACGTCTGCCTAGTCAGAATGTTAAATGAACCAGGTTTTTGACCCTTCTCTGTGCAAAATATTAAGTTTTTCACATGAAAATATAAGTTGGGTCTGTATAATGCTCAAATGAGCAAAGTGATAACTTTTATGTAAACGGCTTGGCTCAAGTCAGCTGGTGTTCACTTCAATTTAGTTTTATTTGTATAGCACCAAATCACAACAAAAGTCATCTCATGACACTTTACAAAGTAAGGTCTAGACCTTACTATTATTTATATTATAGAGGAAAAACCCAACAAACCCCCCTTGAGCAAGCACTTGGCGACAGCATGCAGGAAAAACTCCATTTAACAGAAGAAACCTCTGACAGACCCCGGCTCTTGGTGGGCGGCCTTCTGCCTTGACCGGTTGGGGTGAGTGGACACAGGAGAGAGAACAGAAAAAAAAGCAACAAGACGCAACAAACACAACAACAAGCAATCAAACACTGGGCAGGTTGACGTGGCCAGTGACTGCTTATCAGAAACATAGAGCTCCGGAGCCAGAGATACCTGCAGAAAGGTACAGGGAGAGAGAGAGAGGAGACACTACAGGAGAGAGGAGACACAGTTAGTGACGCGTAATGGTGGGACATAGATGCTTGGAGAGAGAGGAAAGAGAATCATGGAAGGACCCCCAGCAGTCTAGGCCTATAGCAGTATAACTAAAGGAAGGCTCAGGGTCAACTGATCCAGCCCAAACTATAAGCTTAATGGAAAAAAAGAAAGTCTTAAGTCTAATCTTAAAGGTAGAGAGAATGGGAGCTTGATAGCTAAAGGCTCTTGTTTCAGTATGTTAAATTTAGTATTTGTAGTAGTTCAGTTGATAATGAACTGATATTTTGAGCGATGATAGTACTTTTCCTTGATTTTTTTAATTACGTGATATGTATTATAGAGGATACAGACAGTACTTTCCGTAGATACATATTTGCCTGCCATCTGAATTACAGGAAAAAAAACCCTGTTGGATTCCAATCTGATTAGTTACTTAAATAAAAGTAGTGAGATGATACAGTAGGTCTGGAGCCAAGTTCAGGGAGTAAGCAACCTTCCAGGTTTGGAGGACTTTATGAGAAACACAGGGAACGAATCGCACAGTTGAACATAAAGTGCTGGAGGTAAGAATACACAAACATATGACCTCACACAATGGATTCTTTTTAAACATAAAACCTCTCTGTGCAAGTAAGGTGACTTTTTAAAACTGTTCAAAACATGAGTACAGATGAGTAACATGTCTGTTGCAGGGCAGTTCAAGGGCACAGGTAATTTACACAACTTTTTTAACAGGTCAGAACATAGGTACAGATGAGTAACATGGCTTTTCTGTTGCAGGACAGTTCAAGGGCACAGGTAATGTACACAACTTTCTTAAACAGTTTAGAACATGAGTACAGATGAGTAACATGTCTGTTGCAGGGCAGTTCAAGGGCACAGGTAATTTACACAACTTTTTTAACAGGTCAGAACATAGGTACAGATGAGTAACATGGCTTTTCTGTTGCAGGGCAGTTCAAGGGCACAGTTAAGTTACGTAACTCTTCTTAAACTGCTCACAACATGAAAAACAGTGAATAATGTGACTTCTGTTTTGCAGGGAACTCCTGGGCCCAAAGGTAACATATAACTTTTAATTGTTCAGCTCAAGGTGACAAATGAGTAGCACTATCTTCCTACAGGATGAAACCTGTAGCATGGCTACCTACCTGTGTTAGTAGTTCAGTACATGAATTTGGGTGGGCAGCGAGACCTTTTTTCCTCAGGTACATACAAACATGGGCAAGGGTTAAGTAGCATAGCTCTTTGCACAGGTTACACATGGATGCAGGTAACAGCAACACCTCTTTACATAATAGTTCCATTGGTGGGATGAGGAATTTCATAGCAATACCTGGGGAGATGTTGAAGGTTAAAGTCAAAGGAGAGTGAGAGGACCAGAGGCAATGTGGTAGGAGGGAGAAGTAGGCAAGGGTAAATCAGCCAAGCAGACCAGAGGTGATGTGTCAGCAAGATGGGTCAGAGCACTCTCACAAAGAACAGGGGGACAAAGAGCGGTTTTAAAGGGCAAATGGTGCATATCTTCAGTAATGGCAGTGATGGAGCCGGGACAGATGAGAGCATTGTGAGGAGCAGAAATGTGGCTTGGGACAGGAAGTTGAAGGAAATTGTGACAAGTAGCAAAACCACTATGGAAAATACTCTGTTACCAATAAGAGTCCTACATTCAAAATGTTAGTTAAGTAAAAATACAAAAGTATTAGAATCAAAATATGCTTACAATATCAGAAGTAAAAGCAACAGCTGCCCTGGAGTTGAAGGGTGGATTACTTAGGTTGGACAAAATGCAGCATTTAAAAATGACAATTTAAGCAATTAAAAAGAACTAAGGATTTTCATACTAACTGGAATAAATGGGAACTCTTTATTAAAGGACTTCAGTAATGTGAGCAAGTGCACATTTTCTTGTATAATGAAGTGATGAGTAGATTCTCTTTCTTTCTGCAAGTGTTCTCTGTGATCTAGTAGTTTAAGTATCTTATTCTAATGCCTCTACATATACATACATATTTGCAGAAATGGGCATGGCCCGGACCAGGAGATGCAGCCCAATATATGGAACATGTTTGCATCTGCTGTTTTTGACCTTTAATTTTTTACTATTCTGATAGAATTACAGGTTAGATTTATACTGTGGCTCTTTTGGCTTAGCCTTCCAATACTCTTAAGATAAGCAGGTATATACAGCTTGGAGGTTAGTCATAAATTTCAAAATTACAATATTAACATGCTGTACTATTTAAAGACTCAATATCGTGCAAAAGTTCAACTAAAAATACTCCCAGTTACCATGAAGTAAATAAGGGCATCCTGTTCTGGTCTCTAAAAAGTACACAAGTAAATGGATGTTTCTGCAGAATTACAGTTGTATGTTAACATTACACCAGCGAGGTCATATGTTATTCTTACCTCCAGCACTTTGTATTCAACTGTGTGCTTCATTCCATGTGCTTCTGATAAAGTCCTCCAAACCCGGAAGGTTGCTTACTCCCTGAACTTGGCTCTAGACCTATCATCTCACTACTTTTATTTAAGTAACTAATCAGATTGGAATCTAACAGGGTTTTTTTTCTGTAATTCAGTTGGCATGCAAATACGTATTTACAGAAAGTACTGTCTGTATGCTCTAAAATATATACAGTGGGTATGGAAAGTATTCAGACCCCCTTAAATTTTTCACTCTTTGTTATATTGCAGCCATATGCTAAAATCATTTAAGTTCATTTTTTTCCTCATTAATGTACACACAGCACCCCATATTGACAGAAAAACACAGAAGTTTTGACATTTTTGCAGATTTATTAAAAAAGAAAAACTGAAATATCACATGGTCATAAGTATTCAGACCCTTTGCTGTGACACTCATATATTTAACTTAGGCTCTGTCCATTTCATCTGATCATCCCTGAGATGGTTCTACACCTTCATTTGAGTCCAGCTGTGTTTGATTATACTGATTGGACGAGATTAGGAAAGCCACACACCTGTCTATATAAGACCCTACAGCTCACAGTGCATGTCAGAGCAAATGAGAATCATGAGGTCAAAGGAACTGCCTGAAGAGCTCAGACAGAATTGTGGCAAGGCACAGATCTGGCCAAGGTTACAAAAAAATTTCTGCTGCACTTAAGGTTCCTAAGAGCACAGTCGCCTCCATAATCCTTAAATGGAAGACGTTTGGGACGACCAGAACCCTTCCTAGAGCTGGCCGTCCGACCAAACTGAGCTATCGGGGGAGAAGAGCCTTGGTGAGAGAGGTACAGAAGAACCCAAAGATGACTGTAGCTGAGCTCCAGAGATGCAGTCAGGAGATGGGAGAAAGTTGTAGAAAGTCAACCATCACTGCAGCCCCCCACCAGTCGGGGCTTTATGGCAGAGTGGAGTTTGCTAAAAAAAACACCCGAAGGACTCCAAGATGGTGAGAAATAAGATTCTCTGGTCTGATGAGACCAAGATAGAACTTTTTGGCCTTAATTCTAAGCGGTATGTGTGGAGAAAACCAGGCACTGCTCAGCACCTGTCCAATACAGTCCCAACAGTGAAGCATGGTGGTGGCAGCATCATGCTATGGGGGTGGTTTTCAGCTGCAGGGACAGGACGACTGGTTGCAATCAAGGGAAGGATGAATGCGGCCAAGTACAAGGATATCCTGGACGAAAACCTTCTCCAGAGTGCTCAAGACCTCAGACT